AAGGGAAAAAACTTGAAATCAAATTTGAATATTACAAAATGGAAATGACTAATTGATGATAATTTCCATGCAAAAATGTGATTCTGCCACCTAACATTCAATAAAACAGTTTAAAAACTGTTGTATCAACACACCCACCCGCTAACGCCAACATTGTACATGCAGTTTCTTCATCATCTTCCTGTTTCTATGTACGTACGCTAGCATGTGTATGCGAATACTGTATAAAGATACGTTACAAATATATGTATACAACATATTTATATCTATCAATATGTACGTATGTGAGTTGGTTTGTGTGTTTGTTTATGTGTGTGTGTTTGTGTGTGTGTATGTGTATTTGTGTGTGTGTGTGTGTGTACAATATACGCAAGCAAACCAAATATACCTAAATATTTCATTATATGGCCCTGTTCTTTAACGTACTAGACAATCAAAGAAATATAAAACCTGATTAAGCGCCTGTGCTCTGGATACAAATTATTTTCGTGGGGCGATAATATTGCGTACGTTTGAAGTTGTGTGTATGTGTTTGTGTGTATGTGTGTGTGTATGTGTGTGTGTGTGTGTGTGTGTGTGTGTAAGAATCTCTTGGGTATAACACTCCAAGTGATTTTAAATGATGGAACGAACAAGTCAACCAAGTGCTCAGTATACAAAGTAATGAATTGATGACGTTAATTTTTACATATAAAGTCCAACATTTTGATAATTACGGAAGATTATTTTTCATGGATTTGTTTCTTTGATCAGACAAAACAACATGTTGAAGATATCGAATTGGTAGAACAGAGGTGTGTAAGAGGTGTTATTATTTAGAGTGAATTAGGTTTAACCTTTCCTTTGTATGTTTCTATGTATATATGTATGTATGTGTTGGTAATAGACCATAATTTTTACAATATCCTATAAATTCTACCGAATGTTTGGCGTTAATATGTTTGTAGTTCGTTTTTTCGATTTTTCTCATTAAAGTTTTTTGGTGAACGTTTAGTTTATCAAAATAAACTTATTTTTCGAATTCATGCTGCAAATAAGGCCATATTTCGATTCCGAATGAATCATCATCAGTGCTCCTTGCTGTATATATAGGGAAATATTGACTTTGTCAAGATAAACTTTGACGTTGTAAAAATTAACTTTGGTGTTGTAAAGTTGAACTTTGATGCGAATTAGGTGTCAGGTTTCTTTATTGGCTGGTCATCTTCTTTGGTCTCCTTTTCTTCATCGATAGCATCATATTCTTCTTTGTCACTATTTACGATGCTATTTTTTATTACTTCTTTGTTTTCGTTGTTGGTTAAGCGCCGGGTTGGAAGTGAGGTTGTCATTTTTTGTTGTATATTTATTTTTGGTTTATTGATGTCGATTAGGACTGCTTCTGCAATTTTAAGATGCGTGTAGTTGCTGTTCTGGTATATTACTTTGGTGTTGCTGTCGAGGATTTCACTGCTAATTGTGATTGAGTGTGTTGAGTCCAAATGTGATTTGATAGCACCACTCTGTTTATGCATCGTAAGCCTTCTAGTCAGTGAGGTAGTAGTAATCCCGATATATGAGTCATGTTGACGTGCACAGCCGTCAAAGGGGCAATTAAATTTATATATTACGTGATTACGCTTTAACTCAGAGTTATCTCTAGGACTGCAGTTGTTTTTCAGTATTAGGTGAGACGTCTTTTTATTGTTGTAATAAATTCGGAGTTTAACTTTACTATTTGGGTTGGTTGGTGTGACATTTTTATTGATGATATGCTTAAGAATAGCTTCATCTACCTTGTATGCTGTGA